CCTAGGACAGACCCATGCAGGTTCCATCATTGCAGCTTCAGTATGTGTGCCCCTACAAACCCTAGTTAGTTGATTTTGAGGACCATGTTCTCAAAATGGTCTCAATCCATCTGGCTCCTACAATTCTTCCTCCCCACTCTTCTCTTTGAGGTTCCCCAAGCTTCAAGGAGGAGGGAATAGATGGAGATCTCCAAGTTAGGCTCTCTTTCGGCCTGATGTTTAATTGTGTGTCTCTACATCTGCTCCCATCGGCTGCCAGAGGAAGCCTCTCTGTTGACTGGGATAGTCACCAATCTATGAGTATAGCAGAACATCATTAGAAATCACTTCATTTGGAGGCATTTTCTTAATTGAGGTTCCTTTGTCTCAGATGAATTCATCTGTGTCAAGTTGACATCAAACTACCCAGCACAACTGACCCTTTGTCAACTTGACACACAAACACATTACTGTAAATCTAAAGCCTTTCCTTTCTCACTCATTCCCAAGACCACACTGTAATATAAACTTCACAATGTAAAATATTTTCCATATGTGAGAAAAATTGCACAGTCTTACAAATTCAAAAACTTTGAAAATTTAATCTCTTTAAAAATTTTTTCAAAGTCTCTCTTAAAATTGAAAGTCTCTCAACTGTGGGCTCCAATGAAACAAAATAAGTTAAATATAATAAAAATAAAATAAATTAAATACTTTGTTATTTCAGCAGGGAGGAATCAGGGCATAGTCACACTTAGATAAAAGTAAAAACAAACTCAGATAGAAAAAAATCACTCTATGTCCAATATCTGGGACTCACTCATGATCTTCTGGGTTCCTCCAAAGAGCCTGGCTCTCTTCTCTAGCTCTGCCCTCTGCAGTACTCATAGTCTTTCTTCTAGGCTCAGGCTGGCTCCACTCCATGCTGGCTTCTGTTCTTGGTGGTCATCCCAATGTACTGGCATATCCAAAATGCTGGCCTCTTCTGCTGCAACTGGCCTTCACTTTCACCAGCAGCCTCTCCTGGTCTGTCTTCATGTTTCAAAGCCTCAAATTTCTCCACAACCCCTTAAACACTGAGGCTTCCATTGCTATTCCAGCTGCACTTTCACCTCGCATGACCTCTCACCATGCCAAGCCTCAACTGCTCTCTATGACCTCTTCATGCCTTCAAAAACAGTGCCACTGAGAGGCTGTTACACATGATCAAGCTTGGCTACCAGCACAAGGTACAACCTTGGTCACCTCTGACCAAAGTGCTGACTCTGAGGAAACACTTTCAAGAAAATTTCACCTCGATGATGCTCGTCTCTTCTTAATCACTACCAATTTCTCAGCACCAGCTAACCAGCATCAATTGTACTAATAAGGTTTCAATAGTTCTGGTGTCTTGTTAGTCACAGCTGATTTTTCAGCCCCAGCTAACCAGAACCACAGATTCTTAACACAAATGACCCTGATAAGGACTTTAAAGGACTCTCAAACTTCCCTCTGAAACTTCATAAGTCGAGTCCTTCATCATCTTCATTGTTCTCAACGGTCTTGTCTTCAAAAACTCCCATAGAACATCTCACCAAGCTTTGAAGACTCAGTGACTTTTCTAGTCCAAAGTTCCAAAGTCCTCCCACAATTCTCTCAAAAATGCATGGTCAGGTCTACTACATCAATACAGAACTCCTGGTACCGACTTGTCTTAGGATTTCTATTGCTGTGATGAAACACAATTACCAAAATCAACTTAGGGAGGAAAGGGTATGTTTAGCTTACACTTGCACTCAAGGTAGTCAGGACAGGAACTCAAGCAGGGTAGGAACCTGGAGGCAGGAGCTGGTGCAGAGGCCATGAAGGTGCTGGTTACTGCCTTGCTCCCTCTGGCTTCCTCAGACTGCCTTTTCCTAGAATCCAAGAACACCATCACAGAATTGATACCACCCAGAATGGACTGGACCTCCACCCTCAATCACTAATTAAGCCTGTAGGGCACAATCACTAATTAAGAAAATGCCCTACAGGCTTGCCTACAGACTATTCTTATGGAGGTATATTCTCAGTTGAGATTTCCTCATTTCAGATGACTCTAGCTTGTTTCAAGTGTAGTTACAACTACCCAGAACACATGGTTAACCATCATTGCAGAGAAGGGTGTTACCCTGGGGCCACACATGAGCCTTTTGAGGCACAAGGCTAACCTCAGAGCATCTCCAAATTGGTATTTTTTTTCTGTCTTTATTGTTGTTTATTCAGCCATCAAGGAAGACAACTGAACTTCTTTGGAGAACTAATTGTAGACAAAGCTGGTTGAGTTATTGGGCTAGTTCCATTGAAAGGAGCAGCACTATAGATTAGAAAAAGAACAATGATGAAATAGCTGACACAACTCTGCAATTCCATTTCTTCTCCAGGGTTCTTTTGTGGTGTCCAGACAAAAGAATTTCTTGGGTAATGTATTGAAGGACATAAAACTCAGAGGAAGAAACAAGTCTCCGGTTTCCAGTAAATAACAGCCTGCCATGTATTATTCAGCTTTGGAAATCCGGCTGAGTGAGTCTTCCGATTCCGAGCCGTCTGAGTCCACACTGAGTCATAAACATACTTGACAGAAATAGGATGTGCTCAGCAGGACACCTTTTCCTCCTTCATTTTATGATTGCCATGAAATCAAAGTCTGGCTTTGCAGAAGCAAAGCCTAGCTCCTCCTCAGTTTATTGCTGCAAAGGTTTAGTAGCCCTTAATTAAACAAAAGTGGTGGACACATTTACAACAAGCCCATTGCTCTCCTGGCTTTTGGGTCATGTATCTATGGGAGAAACGCGTAACCCAATGCACTTTTTGCAACTTGTTCTAAAGATGCTAGGGAAGAATTCAAGTGAGATGACATGGCATGTGAAGCCAACCCCTGAAATCCAACCTCGCTTTTAAAATGGGATTTTATTTTACTTTTAATTATGTGTGTGTATGTTTGTGAGTAGTATGTGCATGTGAACGCAGCACCCACAGAAGCCAGAAGAGAGTGCAAGACCCTGGAGATGATGTTGCAGGTGCATGTGAGCCATTCACATGGGTGCTGGGAACAGAACTCCAGTTGTCTGCAAACACAGCGAATGTTGTTAGCTGCAGAGCTCCCATCCCTTGTTCTTTTGACCTTGCCTTTCTGGTCCTAGTTGAAGAAACAGACAATGAGACCATAAACTATTCTCTGAGGAAGAAAGGGTAACCATGAGTGGTCAATTACAGTTGGGAATTCTATGACAAATAAGGCCAAGAAACTTTTCTCCCTTTAGCTTTCCTCCCAAGGCTCAAGGAGCTGTAGTCAGGACTCCTGGAAGCTGAAGTTGAGTTATATAGTATGTCTCTACTGTAGGTCTCTCCCTGTTTCATAGATTTCAGATCCCAATTCTATGAAGAGGTGGCCTGCATAATGGGAAAAAACCAATTCTTCAAAACTGTACATCAGATAAAAGAGCAATGTCTAGAATCTGTAAAGAATCCCAAGAACTAAACATCAAAAGCCAAACACCAAGTGGGTTAATGAATTGAAAATGTTCTCAAAAGAACTATAAATGGTCCGTAAATATTTTAAAAAGTGTTCAGCATCCTTAACCATCAGGAAAACATAAATCAAGGAAATGTTTTCCAGTGAGGCTGTGGAGAAAGGGGAGCCCTGTACACTGTTAGTGTGACTGCAAACTGATGTGGCCACTATGGAAGTCAGTATGATGATGTCTTGTAAAACAGCAAATGACCCAGCTATTCTGCTTCTAGGTGTGTACATCCAAAATACTCAAGTACATCACAGGATTGCTTACTGCCATACTACTAACAACAGTCAGGAAACTGAGACAGTCTTGATGTCCCTCAACAATGGAATAGTGTAGGGAGAGATCTTGTGTACCTGCAGAGCTGACCATGCTCATTTGGGAATGATCACAGGAATGTAGAAGGTGTGGGGGGATAAAAGAGTTGAGGGGAAAGAGAGCTCTCTCTTGGGGTTCCAATCAGGTCTCAGAGAGCAGCAGAGCACTGACCTTGGGTTCTTGGCTTCTCATGTAAGTGACTTCTCCCTAATAAAATATCCTATGACATCCCTATCCTGTCTAGGCTAATCTACCTCAATAGATAAAGAAAATGATAATGATACTATCAGTGTGGAGAAGGGTCAAGGACAATCCTTAGAGCCTCTCCAAGCTGATGCTGCTTTTCTCTCTTTCTCAATGTATATTCCACCTGCAAAGAAGGGAGAAGACTGAATTTCTTTGGAGAATTAATTGTGGACAAAACTGATTGACTTATTTTCGCTATTTCCATTCAAGGAAGCAGAGATGTATTCTGGAAAAAGAACAACGGTGAAATAGTTCACATAGTTCTGTAATTCCCTTTCTTTTCCCAGGATTCTTTTCTGGTATCCAGACAAAAGAATCTCTTGGGAAATATATTTAAGTGCTTATGTTTTCTCCTTTCCACCAAGACGATGATATATGATGATGATGGAAGCTTGAGCAAATTCAACTCTGATAGACTTAAAGAAGTTAGTCATGCCTAATACCTAGTCCATGTTCATGCAAATATTCAGCAAATAGGTATTGAACATTTTACATACCAGGTACTGTTTAGGTACCCAGAAAAACAAGTCAAGAATGCCATGGATTTGCAATCTGGAAAAAGACAAACAATCATGAATAGACCACATGTGTCAATGTTACAAGTGAGTGACATGAAATGAAGGGATAAGGGACAAAGAATGAGAAAGACAACAGTGACAACCAGGACTTAGAAATGGCTGAAGTATTGGAAATATTGGAGAGGAATAGAGAAGCTTCCTTGTGGTAGAATCTGAAGTAAACATTCCAGAGTTGAGGGAAGGAGTCAAATAAGTACACAGAGGAAGGTACCTGGTGATTCATTCAAGGCTTGAAGGCAAGGATCACCATCATAAGAGAAGCTAGGGAGACAATGACTCAACAATAGCAAAGCCCCTTCATTTACAGCTGGAGGGCTAGTCAGAGCTTTAGTTTTGACTCCGGATGACATGGTGAGATTTCTAACAGAAGAGTGACCTGGTCTGACTGGTCTCAAAGGAGCCACTCTGGCTCTCTACCAAGAATAGATTGCAAGGGAGAAAGTCAAGTCAGGAATCTGCTGCTGAGCCAGAGAACTCAACTCTCTCCCTAGGGCTCTGGGGTAGGAGCTAGACTGCTATACCACGTTCTGTTGAGAATGTTGCTTTTGTTCTATTTTCTTTACATCTTTTTTGTAAGCACCCCCTCTTTTTGCTATTGTTTGTCTTCCTTTGAATGTGAAACCACCATGAATTAGCCATTCAAGCTTTTGAGTGGCAGAATACCGTCCTTCAGTCCTTCTCTTGTGCCTAGAAGCTTGAGAGTGAGAAGCTGTTATCATCCCAGCAGTCCTTTCTCTGACTACAGCTCAGACTTTCCTCATATCTGTCTTGCTATTTGGGTGTTTTCCAATCACTCTGGCAACACTTTAGCTGTAAGACCACGAAAACGGAAGCAGTCCAGGAGGCCTTGATCCAGTTAGGGTTGCTCCTGACAGCCTGAAGCAGTCTGAAAAGGCACCATCTCAGCCAGGAAGCATCCAGGTAGAGCCAGTCCTGGTAAGCTTTAAATGATGCCAAGGCTATCTTTACCCAAGAACACAAGACAAAGGCGAACTTCCTCATTGCCTCAGCAAGAAGCCAGTGCTTAGTGAATCTGGAAGCTATGCTGTGATTTGTGAAAATACAACCCTTGGTTTGCATAGCATATCCAAGCCACAGCACAGTAATTACATTGTTTATATTACCATTTAAGTCAGCAGAGAAAGATATTCTTGTGTTTTTCCTATATTAAGCCCCATAGAATGCTTCTGTTAAATGGTGTCATATTATCACGAGTAGAGTAGACGGAGCCAGTGACAAAGGAGAAGTTGCAGCAGAGGTGGCAGCAATTACCATCTTGGTGGTGCCAGCATTAGCAGCAATGGCAGTCATATGGAAAGAGCAGCTGAAGAGTCCCAAAGAGCAGACAATGGCAGAATCGGGAGGGAACATAAAAAGACCGTGAAGAGCAGGAGAACTAAGAAGGTGAGGGAGTCAGAGCCGAGCCTACAGAAAGCAGACGTGGGTAGGTGGGAAACTGAAGCCATGGTCACTGGAAGAGATCCTGGAAGCTTCCAAGCTTTGAAGGCCATGGATCCCAGCCCCCAAATCTTGAAAGCAGTAACTAGTTGGTGTGCACTGCTGCCAACTGCGATTGGCTGCTTCTGAAGGCTAAGGATTACACTAGCTGCTGAGGACCAGACTGCTGGCAATCAGAACTCAGCAAGGTGAACTTCTAATGTAAGCACCTGTACATCTCTGAATTTTAAGGAGGCCTGGAATCACGAAACTCTAGTTCTCAGTGTTTTGAGCTATAAACCTCTAGTACTACCCATCTAGCCAATAAGCCTTCGACACTCAAAATGACTATTGCAGCAGTTACTCTAGGCTGTCAACTTGATTAGATCTAGGATGAACTAAGAGAATGTGTCCTAGAAAATTTAACTGGAAGAGGAAGACCCTCCCCTAGAGTGGGCAGCACTGTCCAGTCCAGGTGCCAAGAGGTCGGAGGAAAGGAAGCATTGCTCTTCTCGGCCTCCCATCACTCTGTGCAGGTGAGTGCATCTCCTCCGTTGATGCTGCCACTCTCTGCAGACACCAGAACACTGCTTCTCTGCCTCCTAGAGTGGGCTGAAGGTCAGTGGTTCTTCAGGAATCCTCCTTCGTCCCCAGATGTGGACTGCTGAGGCATCCAACTTTATGGACCAAGCAGATACCAGGTTCTCAGCCCATCCAGAAGACTGAAGGCTGATGATCATTGCTTGTTTACCAGCCTGAATCTAAAGTAATAAATGTTCCTTGACATATATATATATACATATATATATATATATATATTCAGTTATTTCTCTGGGAAGCCTTATGACTGGTATAGCCACAAATACCAGAAGGACTATTCCTCTCCTTCTGGTGGTTTCCATCCCAGATGAGCAAAGCCATCCCAGCCAGCTCACTGGTAGCATTGGCACCTCTGTGCCTCCAGTGAATAACAGATAGAAGATGCCTGGATGGGGATGGAGTAAAGAAGAAGGAGGCTAGCCCTGAGGGTGGCAGAGGTGGTTGAATTTTGGATGTTCCTCAAAGGCAGAGCTAGCTATATTCCTTGGGAAAGTAGACAGAGGGATGTGAGAGAGCCAAGGATTCCAGCCTGAGCAACTGGCAAGAAGGAATTGCTGTCCACTGGAACAGGAAAGGCAGGAGAACAGAAAAAGCAACAGCTCAGTCCAGCCTCTGAAAACCCACTGAAGCATTATCAAATGCTGCTTTGTGTTGTCACAAAGACACATCCTTGTCTTATTTCTGTCCAGATACCAGACTACTTCAGATTAGGGACTGTAAATTCTTCCTTTGAACAGGCCATAATGTTACTGAAGTTTAGCTGAGACAACTGCACTGTGGACTCATGGCACATGACATTCACACTTCTGGGGCTTGGAGGCCTAAGCAGCCAAAGCACTAATTATGCATCCTTCAATCTAAAATGAAATATAGAAATGGGGTGATGGAGGAGACTTAGTTCAGTTGTTGAGAGCTCTTGTTGCTCCTGCAGAGGGCCCAGGTTCAGTTTCCAGAAGCTATGTCAGGTACCTCACAACTATTTGCAACTCCAGCTCCAAGAGATATAATAACCTCTTCTGGCCTTTACAGGTATCTACATGTGCACGCACACACATGAACACACACACACACACACACACACACACACACACACACAACTTGAAAAGATAAAATAAAAGTAAAAAGGAGAAAAGAGGGGCTGGGGAAATGGCTCAGTGATCAAAAGCACATGCTGCTCATGCAGAGGAGCTTGGTTCAACTCCCAGCACCCACACTAAGTGGTTTACAACTGCCTTTCACACCAGTTCCAAAAATGTGATGCCCTCTTCTGGTCTCCACAGGAACTGCACTCATGCGCTGCACATACAGACAAGCAACCCCATTCACATACATACACATAAATAGGAATAAATTGCAAAAATTTTTAGAAGAGAAGTGAAAAATTGGAAGATGATGCCATTACTTCTTGAATCTATATTGAAACGAGGAATCTAGAAACCAGAACCTTGGCTTATAACACAAAGATACATTTAAAATACATTGTTAACAGTACCTTGAGGTGATATAGAGAATTGCTGTGAGGAACAGCCCTTCAGTGTTGAGTTTTCTGGATCCACACAGATTAAGATCCAGCTAAGTACATGACAATCTGTCTCCAGAGGGCTTATCTCTTTCCTGACCCCACTTCCTCTCCCAAATGCAGTTAAATTCTGCTGCTTTTAAGAAAATCTGGAGTACTCTCGATATCATGAGTTAGAAAATGTATTATATCAGGCTTTTCTGGTCTGCAGGCTCTGCTGGAACTATTTAAGTCTTCCACAGACAGCACAAAATCAAATAGTCACAATCTACTAAGACTGACTTTATGAAACATGGATTTAGCTGGTAGAGACCAGTTTGCTGAACTCTGATCATCTTTCCTAAAACTGTTCACCTCTCCCTTGCCCAGAAACTGTTCTTTTTTAATTTTTATTTTTAAATTTAAATTTAAATTAGAAACAAGGTTGCTTCACATATCAATCCCAGGTCCCTCTCCCTTTCCCTCTCTGCATCCCACACCCTCCCACCAACCCCCCCAATCTCCCCTCATTTCCCCAGGGAGGGTGAGCCCCTCCATGGGGGTGTCCATAGTCTGGCATTTCATCCAGGGCAGGGCCTAGATTCTCCCCTGGGAGTCCAGGGTGAGAGTGCATCTCTCATTGTTGGATGGGTGCCCAAAGTTCATTTGTATACCCGGGATAAATACTGATCTACTACCCAAGGCCCAATAGATTCCCTAGGCCTCCTCTCTGACACCCACGTTCAGGGGGTCTTGATCAGTTCCATGCTGGAATCCCAGCCATCAGTCTGGGATTCAAGAGTTAACCCTTGTCAGGTCAGCTGTTTCTGGGGGTTAAACCAGCCCAGTCTTAACCCCTTTGCTCATCAGTCCTCCCTCTCTGTCACTGGATTCCTTGAGTTCAGCTCAGTGTTTAGTTGTAGGAGTCAGACTCTGCTTCCATTAGGCATTGAATGAAAGTTCTGTTTCCCAGACTCTCTGGCAGTAGGATTGTAGGCTGGCATTCTCCAGATCTATGTCTAAAATCCATATATGAGAGAGTGCATGCCATGTTTCTCTTTTTGTGACTGGGTTACCTCACTCAGGATGGTTTCTTCTAGTGCCATCCATTTACCTGCAAATTTCAGGAGTCCATTGTTTTTTTTCTGCTGAATAGTACTCCATTGTGTAAATGTACCACGTTTTCTTTATCCACTCTTTGGTGGAGGGGCATCTAGGTTGCTTCCAAGTTCTGACTATTACAAATAATGCTGCTATGAACATAGCTGAACAGATGTCCTTGTTGTATGAATATGAATCTTTTGGATATATGCCTAAGAGTGGAGTTGCTGGGTCTTGTGGTAGGTTTATTCCCATTTTTCTGAGGAATGCCCATACTGATTTCCAAAGTGGCTGAACCAGTTGGCACTCCCACCAGAAATGGAGGAGTGTCCCCCTTTCACCACATCCTCTCCAGCATAAATTGTCGTCGGTGTTTTTGATTTTAGCCATTCTGACAAGAGTGAGATGGTATCTCAGAGTTGTTTTGATTTGCATTTCCCTGATGCCTAAGGATGTTGAGCTCTCAAGTGCCTCTCAGCCATTTTAGACTCCTCTATTGAGAATTCTCTATTTAGTTCTGTAGCCCACTTTTTAATTGGATCCTTTGGTATTTTGGAGACTTGCTTCTTGAGTTCTTTGTAAATTGTGGAGATCAGCCCTCTGTTAGATGTGGGGTTACTAAATATCTTTTCCCATTCTGTGGGCTGCCTTTTTGTCTTGCTGACTGTGTCCTTTGCCTTACTGGGGCTTCTCAGTTTCAGAAGGTCCCACTTATTAATTGTTGACCTCACTGTCTGTGCTACTGGTGTTATGTTCAGCAAGCTGTCTCCTGTACCAATTCGTTCAAGGGTACCACCCACTTTCTCTTTAACAGGTTCAATGTGGCTGGATTTATGTTGAGGTCTTTGATCCATTTGGACTTAA